CAATCATTAGCTGCTTCTCAGATGCAGGTTACTTTTAAATGCTGTGTATTAACAAAGAATCAAGTTTCTTCACTGAGGACAACTTAGTTGTAACTGAAATGGGTCTGTAAGCATAGTGGTGTAATTTTCTAGTGTAGAAGTCTTGTCTTGCCTGTAGAAATCGTGTACATTCTCTTTGCTCTGTGAAAGGGCCTTTCGTATTGCATTCTCTCACAACCTGCTAAAGGTAGATAGCATGAGAATTGTGTTCCTGAAATACTTTAAAAATGTAAATGTGTAAACAAAGGGAAGTTAACTTGTTTTGGTCTATGTGTGTTTGCTATTTGTCACTCTTATCTTTAGGGTAGTTCCTCTTCCACTGCTAGTAGAAAGGCCATTAGACAAACCATGTGGGGGGATCATTTAATGTGAAATCACAGAAAGTTTTTATAGCAATGCCTTACTGTTGGATGTGAAGCAAAAGAAAACTTCTAGTAATGTATGTCCCTTTCCACGCAGGCTCAGTCTTACAGCAAGGTTCTGAAAAGGTAATCTAAATCAGCAAGTATACAGTGCATGTATCTGTCTATTTTATGTAGCCCAGTAGTTTACAAATTTCTGATAATTCATTAAAGTAGAGAAATGGTGTGTGATTAAAACTGTCTTTTCCAATGTAGTAATGCATCTTTGCATTAGTGAGGCTGAAGCCTAAAAAGAATAGTGTGCAGATCCATACTTTAATGGCAGATCATACGGCTCTAACTAGAAGTGCTTTCCTTGCCTAGTTAGTGCTCTAATACTTGTTAGTAAGTGGGATGCTTTAGCTGTTTCTATTAATACTCTTCTGAATCTACTAATTCTATTGCTACTTCAGCCATTACCTCGATAGTTTACCATAGCCCAGGCTGCTCTCATTGAGCAATGGCTCAGTCCCAGAAACAATTCTGTGGCTGCTGACAGAGTAAACATTGGGGGGAGAGGAGGGAATAATACAGATAGTTCTGGAAAATTAAATTGCAAACAGATAATGTTCTGTGCTTCTAGCAGTTGTATAACACTGTGATCAAAAGGAAGGGACCTTATACCAGAAGCATCTTTTAGACCTTTCCAAGCCAGCCAGGTGTTTATTTCCAGCTTTTTGGGAAGCACTTGATGCTGTAAATAGGGAGAGGAGTATGTGAAGTGTCTCATAGCCTTAAGGCTATGGAACTGTAGGAGGTTAAGGCAAACTTCTGTCTGTATGATTGTATTCAAATGAGGGTTTTGGTTAATTCTGCCTAGTTCCAAGAGAATGCATGGCATCTTAACTTAAAGCCAGTGTTTAATTTGTTCATCTCAAAAGAATCTGCAGGGAAATATGTATGCAAAGGGGTTTTGAATTTTTTTTTTTTTAAAAGGTTGGTCTACATATTATTAATGTCTTGGTCCTATGCTATTCATGACTGTAGAGATTGCTTTGCCTCCATCTGTAACTGTATGGCATCTTTGTGGCAATTATATAGTTAGTTAAATGGCAAAAGAATGTCTTTTGGCGCATGAAATAATGGAAAACAAGCAATGTTTGGCCAGCCTGTTCCTCAGACTGCTATGAACCACAGTAAGGAAGCATCCTGGGTTAACAGGGAAGTGACTGTAGTATTTCATATTTGGAAACAATACTAGGAAGGAGGCATTTAAACTCAAAACAAGGATGGTCTGTCTTCCTTCTGTATTTTTCAGTCTTCTAACTCATAGACTGTTGTTGCATCAAAAAGAATATTGTTAACGGTATTCTCCTCTGATGGTTGCACAATAGCCCTGTAAAGATAAATGTCCTTGCCCCACATAATTATCTACACACAAAATGCAAGCTACTAGGCAAACAAATAGCTTCCTAATTTGTTCCTAAAATGGCAATGACTTGCATTCGTTGGGAGTTGCTTTGAGGCTGCAAGAGCTTACTGAGCTCACTTCCTTCACCACTGCAGGGGTTTTTAGAAATGCCCAGTGAAGTGCAGCATAAGCTAGGAAGATACATTTTGAAGCCCATGAGATGGAACTTGCTGAATCTGATTCCTCTGGTACTGTTCTTGTGGAGAAGGCAAATTAATGGTTGGTTTGTGGTACTGGTAGTTTAGAGGCCCTGTGGGTTAGAAGTCAGCCTCGAGAATAGCGCTAATACCATGTTATCTTAGCATGAGCCTCCATTTTTTTAGTTCTAGTACCTGATGATTCTGTTCTGGAGCATATGAAATGGTGATAACAAGACTGTTTGCTGCTGCCATGCAATAGGGTAATTTTCAAGTCTTTAAAGTTTGAGGTGCAGACCATCTCTGAATCTTCTCACTATTTGGTAATACTGGCATAAAAAATCCCTTAGTGTTTGGTGAGATTTTTTAGAATAGCTGTGTTAGGCTATTTATCTTCTTGCTGTGAAAGATTTTGGTTTCAGTTCTGGGAGTAAAAAGGGATAGATGATATAGAATGATCCCATACTGGCTGAAGAATGTATTCTTGCTGTGTGCAAGATAATTCAGCTTTCTCCTCCTGTGAGGAATTTGATTAACCTCTCTGTAGCTATGTTCTTTCCTTAGTTCTCCTCAGATCTAGAACTGGCTTTCAAGATACCCCTTGAAAGATTTCTTGTGGTCTTATGTATTTCTTACCACAAAAAGAATTAGCCTTTATCCCAGAAGTCTCCAAGGTGTATTTGAATGCATGTACTTCAACAGTAAGGAAGTGAGGAATATGTTTCAGTGTAATGTAGGAGACTTCAGATGGCTGGGTAGTTAGGATTCCTCAGGAAATGATGAAACTGAATTTAGCTGAAGCATACTGCTTCTGTGTCCTGCCTGATTATAGCCAAAAAAGGCAACTGGTTAGATTCTGGGAGTTGCATAGGCAGGAAACTGTGTAATGGAGGGTAGAGCAGAGCTGTTGCCTTGCCAAACCTGATACAACTCTGAACACAATTGAATATTTATTTCTTGTTTTTCTTTTTCTCCCTCCTCCTCTCCCCTCCCTTTTTTTTAACCCTTTGACCACAACCTGCAGATGATACTCTGCAATGTCATGGAGTCCCAATATCTTTTCTTGAATTCTTAGTCTTCTTCATTTCCTAAATACTCTGCCAAGCTGGCTGTTGTATGGTGGTCTTGCAGCTCTCTCGAGAGCTCAGATTTTTCATTGCAGCCTCTTGATTGCTGCATCTAATCTCTGCAACAAATCACTTCATCGTGTACTCATTAAAATAGGGGTTTTCAACAAAAAATGTGAAAAGCCAGGGTGGAGGAGTTGCTCTGAGAATCACCATTGTGATGACTGAGGTGGAAGTGTCAGAGTGACCCTGTGGGGAAGGGAAGATGAGGTGAAGTGTGGGATAGCTGCTTGGCATATCCTGTAAGGCTTGAGACAGAGATTTGAAACTCAAGCTAAAGGAAACAATTACTTGTAGAGTAATTTTCTCTTTGTTTGCTGTAGAATTTTTGACTGTGAATATACAGCTAGCCTTACAGTCTTTGGCACAAAGTTGCCTACCACCTACAGTGATACATTTGTTGAAAGGAATTTCCCTA